TGGCTGCCCGCAGTCCAGTAGGAATTGCGACGCTTAAAGTCAAAAAAGATCCTCCCCTTCCTCCTCGCCTGCCCCTATTTAAATTCCGGGGCTCCGGAAACACCCTGGCGGTGAGGGGCACGGACGCTTCCCCGCGAAATGGGAGCCGGCGAGGCCTCAGCGTTTGGGGAACCCCGGCGGCCACGAGGAGTTTGCGCTGGGGACGCGGGACTCGGCGTCCGCAATGACAACGCTGATGGGGCAGCGGCGCCAGGCGCCACCCCTCTCGCGGAGGCCGCCTCCGGCTCACCTCGCCCGAGTCCGCCTCTTGGGTGGAGCCGGGGAAAGGGTGTGTGTGGACACGTGTGTGTGCGAGTGTGTGTGCGTGCGCGCATGCAGGCACGTAAGTACGCGGACCGGCGCGGGGGTGGCAGGAGCAGGGACTTTGCAGGTGGCACTTTGAGTCATTCGTAAATGTGGAGTGGGCAAACCAGGACAACTGACAGCAGAGCGTGTGTAACCTGAAACAGATGATCTGGGGAGTGCTATAGAGACAGCATCTAAAGCAACTATGCCTTGATTCTAGGTATATGCACCGTGGGCTCCGAGGAATATGTATTTGAACTTTGCTTTTGGTATCTCGCAGTTTCTGGCTGTTTTCTAATTTTATGTTACTTTACCTTTTAAATCAGCCCCATTAGGAAGTACCTTAAATTCAGGGCGAAGCCTTCCGGGAGTTTGCTTGTATTCGTTACACACGGAATGCTTTAGGAAAGACGATACCAGAGCTCTCTTCCATTTTTTGTGTGTTTTCTGGCTCTTTCCATAAATAGAAAGCCATTTCTAGAACCTTTCATTTGATGACTTGATAACATAAAGTGAGCTGATTTTTAACTCCGGACTGAAGAGAAAGAAAAGTGAAATAAAATGAGAATTAACAGCCTTTTTAAATGCAGTGACTTTAAAGAGGGTTATTTTGTTTCAGTAGGCGGATTACTGTGATGCTCTATCCTTTTGTATTTTCCTTTACCTTGGGAGAAGGGGAATGACATTATAAATCAGAAAAGGAGAGTAATATATTTAAAACCCTTTTAAAGCAAAATAGATGAATTACATATCATTTACACCACATTGAGGTTGAGAACCTTCTGGAGAAAATGTTCAGGAATCAAGGAGGAAGGTTTGAAACCTCTTTGGAGAAACTCCTCTTTTGGCCTGGGGGGTAGGGGGGAAAGGAAACAATCGATGAGCATGCAGTTTTATTTGTTCAGTATGAAGTCGGGTTTTTATTTTTAAAAAAATCTAAAATGTTTCAAATGATGTGGTTGGAGCCATTGGTTATAGCATTTCATTCTGAGTAACAGATTTAAATTTCTTAAGATTTGCATAATAATTAAAAACATTTTTTAATACAGCGAGTCGTACCCTTACTGAAGATATAAGATAGTTTTGCTTCAGTTCAGAAATAAAAGTAATATTCTCCAAAGCGAATAGGTTTTTCTACATAAAGTAGAAATAAAGTTATTATAAAAATATCTTTAAATCATGCAGGACTTTTTCTTTTGAGAGACTTAAGTTGCCTCTCCATCTCACCTTGTTTTGCATGAAAGAGGATGTGGTGATAAGGAGGAAGGAAAGATACCAGAAAGACTTCAAAGCAGTGGTAGCAAAATAAGCTGTAATATGTGTGGTACATAGAAAACATAAGAGAAAATAGATAAAATTGAGTTATTTTTTAGAATTTTTTAAACCTAGATGCGAGGTTTAAAAAATAATTTTATTTTTATGTATATTACAGATGCCAGGAAGTTTTTAAGGTGCTATCTGTGTCTCTAGATCATGTTTAGAAGAGATACCTCCATAGTTGGTTAGAGGTTATCTTATTGGTATTTAACCAAAACTCCTGTTTTGAGATACAATGTTTGGGGAATATTCGAGCTTGCATAATTTAAAGATATTCTTATTTTCAGAATTTTACTTCTCATTTTGTTTTCAATAACATGAAAGCACTTTCTAGAGTTTTATACTAAAGTTAATTATTATTTTTCTTTAACATGCAGATCTGCAAGTTGAGGTGGAACCATTCTGGCTTCTAGTACAAATGCCAAGTGTGTGATCTGTGGTAAGTTACTTAATTTCTCTGAATCTCATTTTGTACATGAAGATAATATCTAACTTATAGAAGTGATATTCAGCAAGATAATATATGTAAAGAACTCAGGTTAGTAAAGCTACCTAGAGAGGGATCTTAACAAATCCTTAATGACTTTCATTAGTGAAGAGAACCAGGTGAGCCCAGGAGGTAGTAGACCTAATTTCCCGTCTCTGCTTCAACCACTTCTCAGAGGACCAAAGTTACTTGACCATGGAAAGCCTCAGCTACCATTAAAATGAGGTTAGGAATGTTAAGACTCTTGACTAGAGGTTATATTAAATGGACTTTTAAGGTCTTTTTAATAAGATGATCCCTTTGATGATGTAACTCTGCCCCCTTTAGATGTTTTATACATTTAGAAATAGTACTTGCTGTTGTCAGGGGCATGGTGCTTCTGTGAACCAAGAAGTGAACATCTCTTGCTAACATAGGTTCTTATTTCCCATAAATATTGCCAGTGATTCAGCTAACTTACTGAAATGCAACATCTTTAAACATTTATTTTGAAAATTGGAGAAGGGGTGTGGCTTGGCTTTGTTTTATTTGAGAGATAGTATAGTGCCATGTTTAAGAACATGGACTTTGGAGTCTGGTGGATGAGGTTGGAATCCTGCCTTTGCCACTTGGTTTCCATTTCAGCTACTTACAAGTTCTTGGGCAAGTGACCTAATCTTGTTAAACCTTGAGGTTATTGTAAAGAACAAATTAAATAATCTAGGTAAAGTTTTTAGCACAGACTCCATGCAGTAATAGTAAATATTACTTTTTCTTTATTTAGCAACTATTTATTGAGCTCCTCCAGTGTGCCAGACACTATCCTAGTCTCTAGGGATAGAGAATGAACAAAAGAGCATGTTAAATCCTTCAATTCTAGCTTTGAGAGACTTCCACTATTTAATGACAGCTTTGACTGTAAAAGGCATTCTACTTTCAGATCTGCTAAAATGTGGTGAGGAGAGAGTGCATTTTAGAATGGAGCAAGTAATCACTACACAGGAAATGTTTGTTTAACATTCCTCGGGGAAAAAAAACTTAAATTCAGATTGTGGAGTTCTGGTTTTGTCATATTTGGGTTCAGTTCATTAAGCACTTATTACTTATTAAGCATCTACTGTACTCCTGTATTATGCTGGAAACTGGAAATACAAAGATGAGTAAACCTGGGCCCCTCTATGGAGGGGCTCGCAGTCTGAGCATAGACGGGGAACTAGTGGATGAGGTGCAAGAAGCAATGATCTTATACTTTTCATTTTCTTTTATTGTGAAGTATTTGTATCATAAAATAATATATTTAATATATATGCTAAGAAACAGCAATAAAAGGACAGAAGCAGGACATCAGCTATGCTATTAAAGTTCACTCTATACTCTTTCCAGAATGCACTCTCCATCTCTGCTGCCCCCATAATGATTACCTTGTATTTCATATTTTTTTTTTTTTTTTTTTGCTTTTCGTCATAGTTTTAGCACCACTTATATTTTTATCTCCAAATACTTGTTATACCTGTGTTTGGACTTCATAAAAATGCATCATACTCTGAATTCTTCTGTGACTTTCCGCACAACACTGCTTTTAAGATTTAGCTCCACCGATGCTAAATCTTAGATGGAGTTCATTTATTTTTCACTGTTGTACAGTATTCTATAGTATGCATGTGCTGCAGTTTATTCATTTTATTATGGATGGACATTTGAGTTTTTGTTTTATGTGTTTCACACAATCCTAAAATGAACATTCTTATGTATATATCATGACATATATTCTTGAGTTTCTTATTACATTGTACAGTAAGATAGCCACTAGCCGTATGTGGCCACTTACATTAAAATTAAAATTAAATAAATTTAAAATTTCAGTTTATCAGTTGGACATTAGCCACATTTCAGATGCTCAGGAGCCACATGTGGCGAGTGGCTACCGTATTGGACAGTGCAGATATGTAACATTTTCATCATCACAGAAAGTTCTGTTTCCAGATTTTATCCATCTTTATATCTCCAGTTCTCAGCACAGTGCAGAGCATTGTAGATGCTGGATAAGTTAGATAGTGCTGGTCATATGCCTGGGAGTGAAATTATCTTGCTGTGGGGTATTCACATCTTCATCTCCACTGGGTAATGCCCACCTGTTTTTCTCAAAGTGGTTATGCCGATTTATGCTCCCACCAGCTGTGTGGAAGAGTCCTGGTTGCTCTATATTCTTGATTTGGCACCGTGAGACTTTTCAGTTCTGGCCAGCCTGGGCAGGTATTTTTGAGGGCAGCCCACAGCTTATGCAAACAGCAGAAAGATCATTCTTCTAGTTTCACAAAGCCCAGCATAGGTAGTGAAGAAGGCTTTACCTGTAGGGGAACATCAGGGTGGGGTAGGAATGTTTCCTGGGTTGGCTCCAAGGGTCACAGGACCAAAGTCCAGCTGAAGTGAAGGAGGGAAAATAGTGAGAAGTGGATTCACATTTTGAAAAATTCTCTTTCACTGTGCCATTTCTGCCTATGGTAGTAAAATTTTTGACAATAAAGCATGTCATTAGAATGAATCTTTGTTCCTGTATTTAATTCTGCAGGGAGTTTGGCTCCAAATTTATTTAAAGCTTGAATTTAGAGAGTGCCTGCAGAGTACTGAAGCCTTAGACATTGCCTTTCCTGCTGTTGAAAAAGACCCCCCTTGCCCCACATACCATTCAGGTAATGGCTTCTAAGCTTATTTGAAAGGAAGCTTATCTCTATTATAAATGAGATTAGAAGTCCTGCGCGAGTGTTATTTAGGTTTCAGTGACTTTCAAACAAAGGAATACGAATCAGTCGTTAGGCTGCTGTGTGCAAAGTTTGATTAATAAGACAAAGTTTAGGAAGTGCTGCTTGTCTTTTTGCATTCCACTCACTAGGACTGATAAAAAGAGATTTGCCTATCCCCTTGCTCTTCCCAGAATTTAAAAGAAAAAACATGCAAAAAAACTCCTAGCAACCTCATATCCCCTTCATGAAAGTTATGACAGGTGGTAGTAGTGCTGCTTTCTGCAGTGCAGGTTTGTTGAAATATAAGTTAATGCTAACCACAGGAAGAAAGGATTCACACCCCTTTTTTCCCCACCCCCAGCGTCTTTTGGGACCTGTTTGCTGACGTCTCAGAGAAGAGCACTGGGAATAGGAGTAACAGTGACCACAGCAGCTGACATTTATTGGTCACTTATACTGTATGTCAGGTAACATGCTAAGCACTCTTTGCATGCATTCTGTCATTTGTCCTCACAGCCATGTCATTCTTTCTCCCACTTTAGATCCAGGAAACAGGCTTAGACTGGTTAAATATTTTTCCCAGGGTTTTACAGCTAGCATGTGGTTAATTCAGGGCTTGAACTTTAGTCCTTTTGACTCTTAAGCCCTGCTAAGATTATCCTGCATCTTTTGCCAAAAATTGATGAGAAGAGGGACTGGGAAAAGTACTAGGTGTGACATCGAGGGAACAGAACATCTGTCTTTCTTCCTCTTGTTTTGTGATGGGGAAATAAGAGGCAAGAAATGGAAGGGCTGGGACTGAGGTGGCGTGGGACAGCTGAGGTGGCTGGTGTAGGTGCTGAGCCAGAGTGTAGTTATTTATTCTCCTACAATACCTTTCATAATTGTGTGTTTTAAAGGGAAATAAAAGATTTTACTCCTTTAAAGCGAGAGAAAGACAGCAAGTGAGGAAAAATGTGTGGCAGGTCCTGGGATATAAAATGCCAAGTGGTGAAGAACATTGCTGAAGCTGGATCTTTAAATTCATAGATACTAGTAGCTACTAGATTTGGGAGTTCCACCAAAGTGTCCTTTTAAAGGAAAGCTGTATTAATGGCTGACTTCTCTTCAATGTGTTGAACTTTTCTCCCGAAAGCTAGGTGATGCCTCCTGCTGTGGTTTTGGCAGAGTGTCATGATGACCTAGACCAGATTTCCTATTAGGGTTAATAATCCATTCATAGCTTATTTGTGGTTGCCATTCATTTACTTCTCTTTGTTACTTGAAGAGTTCTGTTACTATAACTCAGGTGGGAAGGATTTTGAACAATAGTTCTCTATGTCTTTTTTCATAAGTGGTTTCTACTAGTCAGTTCATGATGAGACCATACTTCAGGCTGCTTACTCAGGCTTGTAGTTGGCCACATCTCCCAGAATGCAGCTGATTCTCAAGTTTGCTAAACAAACTTATAAGAAGTTGATAGATCCAGGATGCCGAATTAATAATGAGAAGTAGAAGTGCCAATACGCCTGGGATGCTCTGGCCACCGGTCATGGTGTAGGATCTGCCTTGGAAACCAAGTTACTTAAGGTTGCTTATTAATCATGAAATCTGAGCAAGGCGAGCGGCTGGGGGAATTTAATGCCTAATTTATTATTAGACAGTACATCAGCTCAATGCTTGGGGACCATTTTAAACAGCAGAATTACAAATAAAAAATATAAAAATGTGAATAACTTGGCACTAAATAGATTGTATGTACGAAGACCTCTTGTTTACAGTATGAGAGTTGAAACAGGAAGGCAGAGAGCATCATCTTCTTCTTCGGCTAAAGCTGGGAACATGTGCATAGGTGATTCAAAATTTTCACCTTTCCGTCATGTCTGGGAATGACTGCAGAAATGCTCAGAACATTGATTTTGGAGTTAAAAATAAATTTTAGCGAGTAGGCAAATTCACAAGTATGGAATTTGCAAATAATGAAGAACAACTTTACTTAGGAAAAGTGGAGGTGGTGGTGCTGGCACCAGGCAAGAGGGAATCCATGGCTCAATCAACATCACTGGAAGTCTGTCTCTTGTTTTTGAACCTCAATGGCTGGCAGCTTCCTAATGTCTTACAGGTATGCTCTATGTGGCAGGGAAGGCAGCTTCCAGTAGCTTCAGTTACCCATTCTTTCATCAGAGCTCCATGGAACTTAGTGGGGAAGGACTCTGCCTCAGCTGGCAGTGTGAACTTATCCTTGCACCAGTCACAAAGGCTGAGGAGTGGTTTTCTCTGATTGGTTTTATATGGGTCCTGTGTGTGGCTTAGGGGGGTGGTGTCCCCTGATTAGCTTGGCCAGGATCATGCTCACCCTTGGGCAAGAGGGGGTACAGTTTGTTACAAGACAATGAGGGACTTGGGGAGAGATATTAGATAGACAAAAAAAGCAGTCGATAACAATCTTGAGTAATTTTTTAAAACTAACCTTCATTCTTCAGAAAGGTCGCTACCATATTGAGTTGCAGCTTTCTATTAAGTGCATTTCAGTCATGGCCTCTACATGTCCCCTCACCCTCCCTCCCCCCGGCCCCCACCTTTTATTGATAAGTAGTGTTCCATCGTAAAAATATACTGCAGTCTGTTTATCCATGCTCCTGTTGATGGACATTTGGGTTGTTGCCATTTTTGTTTAGTATGAATAAATCTGCTGTGAGCATCTTTTATAGATCTTTGTATAGACATACAATCATAGCTTCTTGAAACCATAATTTTAGACACATTGTCCTTGGCTGGTTAAGGGGATGGCTTTAATGCTACAGCTGCCTAATCTCATCCCTTATCTCTTAATTATGACTAGTTTCACTCTCAGAGGGTGATTTTTTTTTTTTTTTTTAAGATTTCCAGGACATTTTGTATTATGTACTGACCACAATTTAGTCATTCTGCAAGTATTTTTTTGTGTTTTTGCTTCTGTAGGTTAGGGGTCCCCAACCCCCGGGCTGTGGACCAGTACTGGTCAGTGGCATGTTAGGAACTGGGCCGCACAGCAGGAGGTGAGTGGGCGGTTAGAGAAGTTTCATCTGTATTTGCAGCCTGTCCTCAGCACTAGCATCACCACCTTAACTCCAACTCAGATCATCAGGCATTAGATTCTCTGGTGCCAAAAAGGTTGGGGACCACTGCTATAGGTGACATAAATCTACTTGGGCGGCAGTGTAGCCCACTGGAAAAGACTGGACGTTGGCATCAGGCCTAGATTCATAGCCTGGTTCTGGCTCCTTCTGGCTGTGTGACTTTAGGCATTCTTAATCTGAGCCTTGCTTTTTCCGAAAATGAGGCTAAAAATATGGCATAGGGTTGGTATGAAGATGAAATGAGATAATGATATAATGCTTATCATAGTGATTGGGTATATAGTAAGCCCTATGATGTCGCTTATATAATTGCTGGTAGGAAATATAAGACAAAGTCATGAAACATCAAAAATGAAGGAAGACATTAGTGTGGATACAGCAGTTTAGCAAATTGGGAAAATTTAATTATGAAAAGGTTATGTGATTTTGCCAGTCTTTTTCATTTTAATTTTATTTCTCCTCTCTTTGCAGTTAATTCAAAGAATAACATTGTAGCTTATTTTTAAATTTAATTTTATTTTTTGGTTCTAGAATCTTGACAAGGAATAACAAAACAGTCTTAAGCAGAGCTTGCTGGTTAAGACAGCAAATTAGGATTAGTTTTATATTTTATTCTGAGTCTTTTCATGCCTTTCTTGAAAGAGTTCAAAGAGTAAATCAGATAGTATTACCATAGGTAGCTAAGGAATGTTCCATTGTATGGAAATACCACATTTTGTTCATCCATTCATCCATTGATGGACAATTGGCTTATTTCCACCTTCTGGTTTTATAAATAGTGCTGCTATGAACAGTGTATACAAGTTTTTGTGTAGAAATATGTTTGCTTTTTTTTCTCTCTCTAAATTTTTTAAGATTTGTTTTTCAATTACAGTTGATCTACAATATTATATTAGTTTCAGGTATACAACATAGCAATTTGACATTTACATACCCTAGGAAGTGATCACCCTGATGATAAGTCTAGTACCCACCCGAAACCTTACATAGTGATTACAATGTTGATTATATTCTCTATACTGTACTTGATACCCCAAGAGTATTTTTAATAATTAGTGGTTTGTACTTCTTAATCCCTTTTACCTTTTTCACCTCCCCCTCCCGCCCCCCCTCGCCAACCTCTCTCCCATTCGGCAACCATCAATTTATTCTTTGTATCTATGAGTTTGTTTCTTTTTTATTTGTTCATTTATTTTGTTTTTAGATTCTACATATAAATAAAATCATATGATATTTGTTTTTCTCTGTCAGTTTGCAGTTCTCTTGGATATATACCTAGCAGTTCAATTGCTGGATCTTATGGTAACTCTATGTTTAGCCTTTTGAGGAACTGCCAGACTGTTTTCCAAAGCACCTGTGCCATTTTACATTCCTACCAGCATTGTAGGAGGACTCCACTTACTCCACATCCTCATCGACACTTGTTATTATGTCTTTGTTGATTATATCCATCCTAGTGGATGTGAACTGGTAGAGAGAGATGAAATTTATGTCTTTGTATGAAAGGGAAGCATGAATTTTTAAAAATATAGTGAAACCTTGGGCTAGAGTCAGCAGTAGTCAATTAGCTAAAAGTTGATTGAGTACCTGATCAATTAAAGAGGTGTATACACTGTGGTCTCTGTTTAAAGTGATTAAAATCTGTCTGAGGTGTTAAGTTATAAGAATGTCTCTAATCAGGACAATATAGTGCAGCGGTCCCCAGCCTTTTGGGCACCAGAGACTGGTGCTCCTGTGAGAATCTAATGCCTGATGATCTGAGGTGGAGCTGAGGCGGTTGATGCTGTCACTGAGAAGAGGCTGCAAATAGAGATGAAGTTTCACCTGCTCACCAGCTGTTCACCTCCTGCTGTGCAGCCCAGTTGCTAATAGACCACCTACTGATACCCGTCTGCGCCAGGGGTTGGGGACCCCTGATATAGTGGATGTATCAGAGCGATGCAGGCTGACTGTGGCTGGAATGGTCTCTAGAGGCTCTCAGGTAGGAAGTGAAGCTCGACTCAGATCCATAAGGATGTGTAAGAGGGCATGGCAGAGAAGATCACATTTTTTTCCTCCATTTCTCATTTTTGTTTTGAGTAGTGAATACTATCCGAGCTAACAATAGGCCGCCTACAGGTGTTAATTTGTTAAAACGTTTTTGAAAATTAAATAAGCAGAAAACTTGAAAAGTGCAATGAGAAAGGACAAGGTGAAGTCATGAGGGTAATTTCAAAACTGTTATTACCATAATGGTTTGAAAATTGTTTCAGCAAGTCTCCTGTACTGAGTTCCTCATCAGGGATCTGAAAACCACATTCTGTCTATGTTCACCATTCTTTCACACACACAAAATTTGTTTAGAAATGTTTTTTAAACTCTTATTAACACACAAAAACAGCATTATTATCACATAATTACTTTAAACAATATTAATATGTATTCTTTTGATATGCAATGTATCTGAAGAATATTAAGGGGAGGGTTATTTTTTAAAAATTGATTACATTTATTACTGTAATTTTCTCTGACCTATTTTTTTAAATTTTTTCCTTTTTTTTTTTTTTCACACAAAACTCTCTTCTAGGCTGCATGAGTCCCTGAAGGATAAGAACAATGTTATGCTGGGGATATTGGTCTCTAGGCCAACCTGGGATCAGCACCAACCTGCGAGGGATTGTGGCCGAGCCACAGGTGTGTGGATTTATATCAGACAGAAGCGTCAAGGAAGTGGCCTGTGGAGGAAACCACTCCGTGTTCCTGCTGGAGGATGGGGAGGTTTACACATGCGGTTTGAATACCAAGGGGCAGCTGGGCCATGAGAGGGAAGGAAACAAGCCAGGTGAGTGCACCTCATCCACTTGGTGACTGGTGGAAAGGCAGAGGAACGGGGTTGGCGGGGAGCACTGGTGGATGTTCCTTACCAAGTGTTGATCTTTCAGGGAGGCCCTTTGAATGGTATAAGGATCCCCCTCTGTTTGGAATCTCTGTGTCTAATTTAAACCTTTTGATAGAAAACCAGACTTCCTTTTTCACCTTGTTAGATATTACCAGGGAGGAGAAGTCGACTAATTAGTTTTGAGTTAAAGAAATAGATTTTCTCCAGTAATTGAATGCTAAGACTTATGATCATTTTGTGAATAGGTAATCCTCATACAATCAATATCAGAAGCATTTCTCCTAATTTTTCCTTCTATTTATTTATTTCTGCAACATGCTTTTGTTAAGCATTTTGGGCTAAGCACTGTACTTGGTGTTATGAGTAGAAAGTGAATGAGAGAGAGTGATGATGTGGCTCCAGGGAGCCCGTGTGGAAGGACTTGTTAGGTAAGTTGAAGAGTGTGCTGGGGAGTATGAGGGAGAGCGGATTTAGTCTACCTTTGAGAGTCGCGTAGGAAGCAGGAGTAGGAATTGAGAGAGAGAGAGAGAGAGAGAGATTGTGAGAATGTGAGAGAGAATGTGAGAGTGTGAGAGTGAGAGAGTGAGAGAGTGTGAGTGAGAGAGAGAGTGGGTGAGAGAATATGGTAGGAACACCAAGCTTATTGCCCACACCTGAGTGTACCCAGTGATAAAGGCGTGGGTCTGATGGCGCAGTCCTTGTTCAGGGAATGTTGAATAGTGTGGTGAGAGGTAGTGAGAGAGGATGAGCTGGAAAGGTAGGGGCTAATTAGATTCCTTAAGTTTTAGTGTCTTTCATTTATTTATAACGTGCTGTGTGTATTTAAAGATTATTGGTTTGCATTTTTTTCTTCCCACTTTTTCTGTTTAAAGAATCTAAGTTTGACCTTCAGTGTATGTATATGTAGCGTAGATCTTTGAGGTTCTATCTCAGTCTTGGATTTCAGCTCTGTTTGGAATAGTGGTGATGATATTTCAATGAGTCTCCTTTTGGAGAGAAATGATAAGCTAGGGTCTTAAATTGTGTATTTAATGATATATTTGTCATGCTAGCATGGGCATGTGCTATTTTCTTTGTTACTTACTGTCTTTTTTTATTCATTCCAAATCTAATCAAGATACTGAAGCTTCGTTAAAGAACAGCCTTGATGGTTTTTCAAGATGATTTTATTCTCTTGTATTCATTTAGGCAAGTCAGTTTGGTGTCAGAATGAGCTAATTTTTTTGTGTGACATCGTGTCTCTCTTTTCTCATATTTATTCCATCCCATAGCAAGTGGCTGTGTCCCATAGTTCCCCTGCCCAAACATCAGTATTAATTTGTCATCATAGATTTTTCTGTTGACCACTTGATGAAAGGCTATTTGTAAGCAGATTTATGAAGTGTGTGAAGTATGATATATAGGCTTTCCCCCCATTCTTTGCCTCTAGGTTCCCTCATGGGAGCCCTCCTCGAGACAGCCCAGCAGGCCTGCTCACTAAGATTCTAGCCCAGGGGTTTTTTTGACCTGTGGGCCCAGGACTCCTGGGATTTCAAGGAAGGGATTGGTAGCATGTTCCATATGTATACCTTTATATGTGCAATGCACTTGATACTACAGGTTTTCAAATGTAATAGATCATGTTCATTAAAATAAAAATTCAATTAAGAATGCCACCAATTCATAAATGGAGTTAATAAATCCTATTCATTATGTTTTACAAATTAATATAATACTAAAGTATAATATAGAACTATTATGGAGGTGACAGGAAGGTTTTTTACTTTTAAAATGGTTTTAATATTAGAAAATATTAAAAACCAAGGTTTTCTTTCCTCCTGTTAAAATTCACTTGTGTCTTACGTGAAGCTTCTAGTCTTGCTCTGTTTCCCTGGGTGAGAGCCAGTATCTAACAACTAATGTCTACAGAGAGGTTAATGGCAGGTCACAGCCCAGCAGCATGCTCCTTCCTTCAGGAATGTCGACATTCCACCAGAACTTAGAGACACTTAAGGCCCACTTCACACCAATGATCCTTGAAGGACTTGTATTCACCCTGGCTAGCTTTTGAAGGACTGTTTTGGGGACCAGGAGATCTTTCTGTTACTTCTGCAGAGCCAACATGGTCAGGGTGAACTCTGGAGTCAGACAAACCTAGTGGAGTGGAAGCATCACTTGTCTCTGATTCTGTATTTCAGAGCCTCATTTTCCCTTCCTGTAAAAAGAGGAGACTTCCTGTTCTAGCGTAGGTCTTGATGGAGTAGATTCAAATGGTAAAGAAGATTCCGCAAAGCTGCCTGTAACCTGGAAATGTTGCCCTTCTGTTTTCCCTGCAACTCTCTGCCTTCTGCAGGCGGAGTCCCTGCAGATCCCATTGCTCAGGGTGCCTTATTGCATACCTTTGTCTTAGAACCTGGCGGGGAGAGGATTCAACCTAGGGTGGCAAGTGAGAAAGGAAACAAAATCCTTGCAGTCCAGAAATGGCTTAGATCTGTGGAAGCACCATGGTGAATACATCCGAGTGCAATCTGAAATTCTTTCAGTGGAGCCTCCTGACATAGCTCCATGGAGCTAGTGGTGGCTCGTTTGTGGGCCTCTGGGAATGAGGAGCAGCTGCTCTGCTTCTCCTGTATGCTGGGTCAGGTCAGTGCCTCTGTCAGCCTGTAGCCGTTCCCTGTAGGCAGGTTTATGACTGAAAGAGAGTTGACCTAGAGGTATGCCACGAAGGCCGCAGAATTCAGCAGATTCAACCACAGAGTCCAGCCCATGCTTGTAATCTGATTTTGGCATAAACAAGGTTCTAATGTAAATTGCAATAGATTCCAGAAATTTCTGTTGCTGGTTAAGCAGTCTGTTAATTATAAACTCCATAGCAGCTGCGGAATAGTACCTCTCTGAATGGAAAGATTATGTGGGTGGGCACTTCCCTGTGTTTTTAACTTTTCCATTGGTAGGTGTGTTCTATATCTGGGTACCATTTGGGTTTATTTTTAATGAGTGGGAAAAAGACAAAGAGCTTGTTTTCTATATGTGCTCATTTAGAACTGTGACCTGGAGAGCTTCTAGGCATGGTAGGGAAGTTGGTGACAGACCCTGTTTCAGGTAGCCTGTGCTGGCCCTGGCCCACAGGAATCTACCCCCAGGCAACCCCTGAGGTATTTTGGGAGGGCGCTTGGTAGAAGAAGGCCACCTCCCCAGAGAGGATGTTTCTGGGGATAATGGGCAGGTCCGAGATTTCAAATCAACATCATTGCCCAGACCAAAAGGACTTTGTAGTACGAAGGATTAAAAAGAGTGAGGGGAAGGAAAGGTGGACAGTGGTGGTATAAGTGATGCACCAGGACAAAACTCTTCTATTTGAACATGTGCCTTGAGTCTGTCCTGCCAATCTTCACATATCAGTTTATACTGATATTTTATATTTTGTCTCTAACTGGCAGAGTTGCATAGATGCACAGATTTATTTTTTTGGAGGCATATTGTACCTGAGCAGTGATATAAAGCACCCACAATGCTTTTAAGGGTTACTTTTTTCCTTGAGAACATCTAATAGTTTCTATTTGCTTTTGTTGCTCCTGAGGCTACTGTGCTTTCCTCGTACTCTCATTTCTCTCCTTAGTACTATTCTTATATGACCAACTTCTCTGTGTGTGGTAGGGAGAGGGTATTTCAAGGACACATCCAACACTGAAACTCTTGGTAATTCGGGCCCAGATATTTTCCCAGTGTGTCAGGAAGCCTAGTTCTAGCTTAGGTGTGTCCATGACTCATTCACTTGTGCTTTGGCCAAAGGCAAAGAGGCCTGTGATTCTCAGAAGCATTTTTCATGGGCAGAATACCAAAGCCTCATCTAAACTCAGTGTCCAGCTTTTTTTTTTTAAAGTGTTGGATTATAACTGTTTTGTGTATTCCTTTCCCATGTGACTTTTCTCTCCTTCATTCTCTCCCTTATATTGTGATATCAGCCTTATCTCCCTCTCCCCAAATCAGGGATAGTTTCAGTGATTAGGACATTGTAGGATTATTACTAATTTCCTCATGTTTTTGCCCATGAATTCATCTCATGATTTCCTAAGACATAGAATTACAGAACTGCCTTATAGGAAGACTTGTGTGCCTCCCCCTTTTTAAATAAAGCAAGCAAACAAAACATGAATTTTTTCCAAATTGTGATTTTTATAAGTGATTAATCTGTAACTGAACATTAAGCAAATCTTGAAATATTTTGTGAAATTAAAGTAGAAACTGGTTGACCCTAGAAACAATTTAAAATTTTTACCTCAGTTTACTGTGCTTCTCTTATTCCCATCCAGCCACATTGTCAACACCACACTCTAGCTGAGTGGAAAGTTCTCCTTGCCCGTACATATTCTGATTTCCTGTATTGAGGTTAACATAGCTAATTCTTGTGTTATTAGGGCTGTCTGAATTTTTGTAAACCTCCTCTAACCTTTCTTCCTTAGTGGACAAAAACTGGCAGGTGCATTTATTTAGTTTAATTTGACTATGTTAAATTTTTAAAATTCTGCATAGACATACCAGGAAACTTTTTCATAGCAAATCCAAAGAGTAACAATTTATAAGGAGACTCTAACATTTCTGAGCAACCCTGTTTGATTCATATCTATGATTGGTACCTTTTACTTCCTCCTGAGTTAGTCTCTCTCTTTCTTGCAGGTAATTTAATCAAATTCATTTTCGCTTTTTTTATTCAGATTAAGCATTTCCATAATGCCCATCACCATATGTAACAGCTCTCCTGCTGTTTGATAAATGAGGTTTATAAAGCAGAACATCTCAAATGCCTCAGTTCCAGAGCTGCAGTTACTAGTAGAAGTAACACTTTGAAATAGCTTATCAGTTTGCTCTGCTTCATTTCAAGGACTCAATAACTCTGTCATGTTAATCAGCTTTTACTGAAAAGCAAACTGAGTTGAAAGGAAATAGAAGAAATCCTATAATGA